CTTGCAAACCGTTTAAAAATGGTGTCATAGAGCTACCGTCAAATGCAGAATGATGGAAATTGAGTATAATCGCATCATCTTTCATCAAGGTGTCATTGTTATCGAGTTTGTTTTTTACAACATGACAACGAAACACAGTACCCGTTTCTAAACAAAACCAATGTCTATTCACTTCTGCTAGCATGGTTTGATCAAATTCTTGTTCATTATTCAGCACACTCATTTCGAATGAGTAATAATCATCATGTTTCGGTGTTAAAAATTCATCAGGCGTCGGTTTGATGTACTGTTTTAAGCATTTTTCTTCAGGTGAATATATCAGTTTTGTTCTTAATATCGAGTGCTTGCAAATCATGGCCAATAACGCATTACGTAAACGACTAACAGAGACAGTTCCTTCTATCACTTTAAGTACAATTGGAATGTTGTAAATGGCCAATGGATTATTTGAATCAAATCTTACTTGTTCATCAATCCAAATACGTTCTTGAGCTGAAGATGCAGCAGCTACAATACAGAAATAAAGGATTAGAGTGGCAGACGTCACATGAAACTGTGTTTACAATGCATTTTTGGCAAAATTTCTAACGTACAATCGATCAGAGTAAACGTTTCACTACCAAACTGCGGAGGTAATAAGGAACGAAACGTATGACAGATATTACTTTGGTCTTATTCTGGAAGAAAGTGAGACAATATATACTGCAGTATCTGAAACTGTTTTAAAAAGGCCAAGATTTATACCTTCGTTGATATTCAATGGTTGCCATTGTTTGTGTTTTGGCAATACTTGTTGTTGCTCATGATCACCATTATTATCCGTATTGATTGTGACAAGTTGTGCATGTTGTTGAATTGTTGGTTGTCGAAATAATATTGAAATATTTAGCTTTTGTTGAGCAAAACTTGTTTGATAATAATTCATGAGTCTCATTAACAATAGTGAATTGCCGCCCAATGAAAAAAAATTTTTTGTGGTTGATATTTTATCCACACCTAACAGTTCACACCATAGGCGATGGATTTCTCGTTCGTCATCGGTTGTCGGTTCGACGTAATCATCATCATTGGGGTGTTGTAGTGAAAATTCGAATTTTGGTAATTGTTTCCGGTCAACCTTTGCGTTTTCATTCAATGGTAATTGTTCTAGCAGAACAACAATTGTGGGCACCATATACGATGGTAAATGAGATTGACAATATTGTCTCACGTTCTCTTGAATATCTTTTCTCATGGTTTGTATATACGCAGCCAAATAATCTTGATCCGTTTTGTCGTCGTGAACTTTGACCACGACACAATTTACAATAAGAGGTGATGATTTCATTATACAATTTTCAATTTCGCCTAACTCAATTCGTTGACCTCTTAGTTTCACTTGATAATCGATGCGTCCACAATACATTAGGGCACCATTTTCATTGAATCTACCCAAATCCCCCGTTCGATAACATTTCCCATGCACGCCTGGTATATCGATCAAAGTCTCTTCTGTTAAATCGTCTCGATTATAGTATCCTGCAAAAACGCCAACACCTAAAACAATATGCATAAGTACAATAGACAGAATATGTTGCTCAGCATCAAGTAGTAGTATCTGTCTAACCTCCAATGTATATTTCGCCTATTTGACCTATGTGAACTCGTTGTAAGCAATCATCTAACAGATAACATTGATAATTGGGTAATGGGCGACCGATAGGAATATTTTGAGTAGATATTAGATCTTTTTGTGTCACTAGATGGTCACAACACGCCACTGTACATTCGGCTGGCCCGTACGTATTTTTTATTTTTCCATGATGTGGTAAATGTGGCATTAACATTGATATCGTTTTCGATACCATTTGTTCTCCTAGAAAATCAACAAAAACACTGATATCAGTCAAATCAAATTAGACAGCTTTAAGGACACGATTACCTCCCACAGCAAACGTTCGTACTGTTCGAATGCGATTAAATTGATTGTTGGCATTTAAAAATTCGCACAACAATCGCAACAATGTTGGCACAATGTCAATGAATGTCACTTGGGTATGTTGAATAACGTGTGATAGATAATTGATTTCTAGATGGCCATTTGGTTTCAACATGATCACCGTGGCACCGACGTACATTGATCCCAATATTTCTTCTACATGTACATCAAATGAACACGGCGCTATCTGAAGCAGAATATCCTTGTCGTTGAACATGTCCAAATGAACACACGATTGAATATACGAAACAAAATTTCGATGTCTAATCTGTACAGCTTTCGGTTTGCCCGTCGAGCCCGAAGTAAATAATAGATAACAAAGATTATCCGGTGTAATTGTTGTGGTAGCACGGCGAAAGATGTCTGGTTCCAAATCTTTCTTTTCGATAGTACTCAGTGGTTCTTCAATGTTAATCAATAGTAGCGCAGTAGGCAATGAAGCATCGAATTTGTATTCTGTCTGAGAATCTACGAGCACAACGTTTGCTTTGACATCGTTTATTAGCAGCCGAAGACGATCATCCGGCTCATTTGGATTCAATGGACAATAAACTGCACCACTGGTGATGATCGCCAAAGCCCCGATAACCATTTCGATTGATCGTTCAACACATTGACAAATAATATCACCTTGTTTCACATTGAGGTGTGTTGTCAGATATGATGCTAAACACTGAACATAATATAACATCTCACTGTAAGTCAGTGACTGGTTATCAAGAATAACGGCTAGTTTTTGCGGATGTTCTTGTGCACGACTGACAAATTCATGATGGATACAGCAGATTTGACCAAGATCAGCATGTGTCTCGTTTATATCATGCAACAGCTCTGTTTCCTGTGGTAGCAATAGAGACAATTCGTAGAGAGGTTGTGTTTCAAGATCAAACGATGGTGATGTTACTGACAAAAATAATTGTTCGAGTAAGAATCGAAACCGATGAATCATGGTTGCAACCGTTTCTGATTGAAACAAATCACAGGAATATTCAAATGAACCGGTCAAACACGGTTGATTTGTAACATGAGAGATAATATTTTTCATCGATAATGTTAAGTCGAATTGCGCTGTGTTTCGGTGACGTAAGATGTCATCGTCGTTGTAATTTTTGCATTTGGTATCTAGGAATTCTAGAGAAGTGTATTGAGTATTTTCATAAGTAAATAACGTTTGAAAAAAGAACTGCTGCATTTGAGAGTTTTGTGAGGTATTGCAACGAACTAACTTAATTATTTCCTGAAATGGCAAATACGAGTACTGATTAGTGTCAGCACATTGTTTCTTCATTTTTTCAACTAAATCTTTGAAATTTGTTCCGAAATCAATCAGAGACGATCGGTAAGGCACAATGTTGACAAACATTCCAATGATATTTTGGAATTTTGAGGTAGGACGATTTGCTTGAAGACCGCCAATCCAAAGAGTGTTTTCGCGTGCCATTTTGTGCAGGAACAAACTATAACATGTTAACAGTAATTGAAACACAGACATATTACAGTCTTTGGCAAATTTGGTGATATTCTCTGTTAATATTTCGTTAAGTTGAAAGAGTAAATTAACGCCGGTCCCAGAACGGTTTTTGCCTAATTTTTCCGGATAGTCGTACGGTAATGGTATCAATTTTGTAGTATCCAACTGTCTCACCATGTTATGCCAGTATTTTCTTGCTTCGTTTATTGTCAAATCCAACGAATGATCGTTTAGCGTTTGCTTCTCTTTGATCGCATAATGAAGATAGCTCACGATGTCCGTTGTGTGTTCTAGCATACCCATATAAGCATCTTGTAAATCGTTAAAAAATGGTTTTATCGAACGCCCATCCACAGCAATATGATGAAAATTAAATATAATACAGTCTCCAGTGTCCAATATATCGTCATTTTTGTTATTGTGTTTCACAATATGACATTTCAGCACAATACCCGTTTCTATATTAAAATGGTTACCGTTAGTTTCGAACTCAAGTATTTGATCAAATTCCTTCTTTGTCGACACCCGTGTAAACTGAAATGAATAGTAATCATCATGATTACTATCGTCTACACTTGACATGTACTTTACTAACTGCTTTAAGCATTTTTCCTCGTTATTATAATTCAATGACGTGTGTAATGGTGGATGTCTTTGGATAACACTCAACAAAGCAGTTCGCAAACGCTTAACAGAAATATTCTGGTTTGTAATTTCGCACAACACAGGAATATTGTAAACTGACGATGGAATCTGACGAACATACATATCTAGCCAAATTCTTTCTTGAGCTGACGAAGCAGCACCGGTAGAAGTATTATTCCAGTTTTGTGAATTGTTATGTTGGTGACCGCCATTTAAATGTTTTTCTTGATGCGGGCGCTCTGAGGTAACTTTCAATGAAGTGTGCGAACTGCTTGAATTCATAGAACTCAATGATTTGTTAAAAATGTCTTTGTTTTACTGTAATAAAATCTAAAATATTCATGTTAGTACTCGTTTGGTACCCAAAATCACGTGCTTTTTCTAAGTAAATTGTTTTAGGAAAACTCTGTTTAATGGAGCTAGCGTGTTAAGCTAGTCTGCCCTTTAACAGGCCTGTACAACAAATGTAAATGTTAAAACTTTGGTCAAAAACGTTACGTTTTACATTCACCATCTTTCTTTTATCAGCTGCGCCAGAACAGAATTCTGTTCTGGCGCAGCTGATAAAAGAAAGATGGTGAATGTAAAACGTAACGTTTTTGACCAAAGTTTTAACATTTACATTTGTTGTACAGGCCTACTGAGGTTGTTATATAAAGATTGGACAGTAAGTCCTGTACAATCAGTATATGTATTGCAGAAGTCAAAAGGAGAATGATAGAAATATGAATAACGACAGAGAGATAGACTCTGCATTAAGAGGGTGATCGAATATGAATGGTGAGAGCAAGATAGCCAATAGGCGGAGGATAGACTTATATTTCCATACATCTTCCATCACTATGAGAATGAATGCTCCTGCACGAATGAAAAACTAAAAGAATGATAATGAAAAAAAAATCCTAGAAAAGAGCCTTATCCCATCATTCTAGCCATTTCAGTCCGTTTTGATGTTGCTGCCATAACTGTCGTTCATTTTGATTAACTGGCAGCTTTAATGACATTAACGGTATAAAACCGTTATTTCGAATGTCTGATCGTGATGGTGTGAGACTGAAGCTTATTGTTGGGTTGACTCTTCGGTGTGGTGAGATACCTGTACCATTATAGATTTGTCCGATTGAACAACTCGACGAATCACCATTACACATTTGTACAATTTATATGCAACAAGGAAACTATGTAGAAAAGAAGCAATGAGATAAAACGAAAAGTAGCTATAAATGCAAATGCTAGTTAGCTTGCCGTAATATAATAAATTACTGGAATCAATGTCGCATTAATTACTTTAATCGATATATTGATTGACGTAATTAGTGTAGAAACAGATATAGAGATGACAACGCTTCAATACGGGTTCCAAACGGGCCGCAAATAAAGATCTATTACAGAATATAATAAATTTATGAAAGGTGTCGATAGAACAGACCAGTTTTGGGCTTGATTTAAACTTTATTTATTTAAGTGAGTTCAACCGTATAAAAATACATTATAGCTCTCACTAGAAATAAAGAAAATAGAGAAAAACAAAAAAAATAAAAAGAAATACAGAAAGAAAGAGAAAGAAGGAGAAAAAAAATATCGATATAAAAAAAATAAAAACAAAAAATTAGTAAAATCTATGCGTTTCTTTTAAATAAGATGTTACAACAGTGTATGTGTGCTGTAGTGTGTATACGCGTGTCGGATGGAAATATATCGAACAAGGAGGGATTTGGACCAAGTTTAAGCTCAGTTAGCATTTTTTGTCTGGCAACATGATAATGATCAAGGTACCCATTTCTTGAAATTCCAGTCTCTCACAGATATGGGTAAAAATGTGTTTTTTGAGATATCCTTTTTATATATTTCCTCCTTCAAAACTAAGTTATTGTTTGAGCGTGTGTTAGATAAATTATAATCAAGAAAACTTCCCAATAGTAAACCAGCATGTCCATACACAATTTTATGAAACAATATCATTCTGTGAATAAAAAATGTATCCTTTAAAATGGACCAGCCAAGATGTTTCAAAACATTTTCTCGTTTGGCGCCTCGTGTTGCACCGCTAACAACACATTCTGCTTTGTACTGAAAAGAAATTAATTTTTGATAATTTCTAGCTGTTAAGTGGGGAGAATAAATTACATCATCATAGCAGATAACTGTTAAGATCAGTGTTTTATATAACGTATTTAATACATGTAAGGAGAGTATATTTCTTGCAAAACGTAGCATACTCAAGATTTTATTACATTTAACAATGATGTTTTCTCTATGTGGTGACCATGAGAGATTATATGATAATATCATACCGAGGTGCTTATGTTGTGTAACTTCATCTATTGATA